TGGCCTCTTATTTTACTCTCTCGTAAAATGAGTGCCAGGAGCAGTCATGAAGGAGAGCCTCAGCAGAAAGCGGCTTTTACTCTTCCTTCTCACTCCAGCAAACACGCTCAAGCTGGCATGTTATGAAGCATCCTAAACAGTCATCTGGAAATTAAGATGTGGGGCCTGGAGACCCTGCAGGACTGACAGGGGCTCCCTAATGATACCCCACCCCCGCCCTGCTTTATTTAGAGGAATAAAGCCCCCAGGAACCCAAAGCACTCAGAATGGAAAGGGAAGCCTTGTGCAGTTTCTTAATAAACAGCCATGTTTGACTTTCAAATGCACACTCTTACTTAGCTATGACAGGGTGCAGGTCAAGATAAAACATCCTGACACAAAAATGGTACCCCAGCCATCCTCTCTGAGGCCCCTGAGGCCCCCGAGGCAGACCCTCACAGCAGCAGCTCCCTGCCCAAGCAGGGTCACCCACAGCATCTAAGGCAGCCGCCAAGCTCTACTGCCCTCAACCATCCACTGAAAGCAGAACAAGTGGGTTCCAACCTGCCCAGGAGGGAGTCTAAGGCCAGGCTGGCAGTGGCCCTGCCTCTGTCGGGGAGGCAGAGGGACAGCCTGGTAAAGCAGCTGAAGGCGAGCAGGTTGTCATTCACCTGGCAGATGCATAACTCACAGGGATCACCCGGCGACCAGATCTGTCCAATTGGAAACTCAACCCCGTTGTCATCTAGAGAGCAGCCTGGCAGGAGGGGTACCAAAGGGAAAAGACACTTGGCAGAGCGCCAGCGATGGCGCTCAGTCGTAAGGCATACTCAATGGACCCACAACACCCCCAAAACAAACAGACAAAAGACAAAACACAGTAGGCAGGAATGCTCCCCAGAACTACAGTACCACCCTTTTAAAGATGAAATCCCATGCTCACAGACATACACACCACACAAACCATATACACAAACGTTTGCTTAATAGATATGCAAACTTTTACATAAACATATCAGACAGACAAACACATACATTCCCAACAAGATGGCCTATCCTCAGCCACATACTTAGGGACCCACAAACTTATACTGACAAAACACAACCCACAGACACACACAAAATACAAATGTATATTTGCATATATGCAAATGGATACACTCATACATCATACATACTGGCACACTCACAAACAGACACCCTCAGAGACAACAGGGTCACACACACTTACACAATCAAACACAGACGTTCACTGGCACAAAAAATATATACATCAAATTACACACACATCGCGGAGAACTGGTACAAACACACACAGATGAGCATTCACAGGTATATCATATAAAACGCAGATACATTCATACACAGATGCCATTCACACACCAACACTTAAAAGGCATATCCAACTATACATACTTACAGGTACACTCATACAAAGCACCCTTCTAAGGATACACACAGGCAGGCTCACTCATTAGCATACTCACACACACAAATGTACACGCTTCCATAGTCACATCTCACACACAACGCTTTATAAAACACTCGTATTCATACCACTAACACACACACACACACACACACACACACACACACACACACACACCATCAGTCCAAGCGAGGGAAGCTCAGCCTCCCCCTGTGCACTTGAGCCCTGTGTTGGGGGCCAGGCAGCCAGACCTCACCTGTGGTGGGTGGAGGCTCCCAACAGGTAAAGCAGCACTGTCCTGGGCCCAGCCACCACTCCTCCCGAGGGCACTCCAGTTCTGGACACGGTGTAAAGGAGCACTCTACCTCCCCGTTCTGGAAGAGAGACAAGAGCACACAGCAGTGAGGGCGGCTCCCCAGCCCTGGGCCACCTAGGGCTAAAGAGAAGGCTGGTGAGCAGCCATCCTCCAGACGCTCCAGTAAAAGTGAATGCCCAGGGAAGCAGGAGCAGAGAAGGGTGAGTCCTTTAGGGAGCTAAAGGAAGGTCCTGCGCTGTTCCCCCTGCCCTAGGTGAGTCTCTACCATCTCTCATCCTCCCTCTTCACCCTAGTTCCATCGAGACTCCCTCCTACTGCCCTTCACTCCCGCCCACTCCCACCCCTCTAATCTACTCGGCTCCATAGCTAGGAAACTCTCCCAGATGTCAACCTCATCATGCCACCCCACCACTCCGAGCTTTAGCGGCTCAGCCCAGTCACTGGACTGGTCTGCTGTCCAGGAGCCTTTCCCACCCGTCTGACACAGGCATCCTCCTGAGACAGAGAGGGTCCTTGGCCTCCTATGCACAGCCATGTCTGATGCACAGCTGTGAGAGCCCAGCTCCCTCCTCTGGCATCTCTGCAGCACCATCCACGGTGCAGAGCTGCCCATGGGATGGGTGGAAGAGGTCTTCCCAGAATCCTCTCTGCCCTCTACTACTTCCCTGGCCCATTTCTCCTGGGGGCACTCACCAGCTGATAAACTACTGTATAAAGACCACATCGCCCAGCCTGCTTCCAGCCGGAAGACACATCCTGAAAGCCCACCTGCTTCTGCTCCAACCAGAAGGTACAGCACCCTCAGCACCTCACCTGACTAGTCCTAGTCACCCCTCGGGTCTCCACTGTCCCTCTCTCCTCCCAAGAAGGTTTGAGGATCCTGTGCCAAGCTACAGGCTTGGCATGCCCACGTAGGCTATAGGCTGCCAGTCAGAGGAGGCTGGCACTCTTCTGGGCTGAGGGTGTGTATCCCCAGATCATAGCAAGTGCTCTACCAATACAGGATTGAAGAAGACTGACTTCATAGAGACTGTTGTAAGGCATGGGAGATCCCTACAGGGACTGCTGCCTCAGTCTCTCCTTTCGATGCATAGCAGGTTATTGTCTCCATGGCAAAGCATCTTGGGTAAATTCCTATGCTGCCCACCCAACTTCCTTCCCATCTTCCTCTGGGTCAACAGGTGCAGGAACCTCCCACCGGGTCAGCAGGTGCAGGAACCTCACAGCCTACCTGGCAGACACAGGTAGTACAGTCATCACCACCTCCACTGAACACAGCCCCGTCCGTATACCATCGGCCGTGGAAATAGCATCTCCCTGCAGGAGACAAGGGCAGTCGGGCTAGAGAAGCTAGAAGAGTGGATGGATGGGCAGGGAGGAACAAGGCAGCTGCCCCTTGCCAGAACTCAGAGTGCTTCTCAGCCTCCAAATCCTAGACCCTCCCACACACACAAGTTACCACCTAAAAACCTACAAAACCAGGTCATTACCCCAGAGGCAGCAGGAGCCCAAACAGCTACACAGTAAGAAACTAGGAGGAGCTGTGCCAGAAGATGGACAAAGAACATCTGAAGATCCTCCCCAAGGGTAACACCAGCCCCAAAGCCTGGCAAAGAGTATATTCATTCAGGTTGCCTGGGGGTTCAAGTCCCAGCTCTACATCGCAGAGCTGACTTAGAGCAAAAACTATGACTCTCTTGAAGCTACTGCTCTTCACTGTGCAATGGAACTGACAGTTCCCACCTCACAGCTTTCACACTAACTGTACAAAAAGAACTTCAAACAAACAAACAAAACAAATAAACAAAAAAACAGTCGGGTGGCGGTGGCACACCCCTTTAATCCCAGCACACAGGAGGCAGAGCCAGGCGGATCTCTGTGAGTTCAAGGCAAGCCTGGTCTACAGAGTGAGTTCCAGGACAGGCACCAAAACTACACAGAGAAACCCTGTCTCGAAAACAACAACAACAACAAATAAAAACAAAGTCAGACATGGTGTCTCATGCCTTTAGTCCCAGCACTTGGGAAGCAGAGGCAGGCAAAGCTCTATGAGTTTGAGACCAACCTGGTCTACATAGTTAGTTCCAGGACAGCCAAGGATACATAGTGAGACCCTGTCTCAAAATAAATGAAAACAAGACAAAAATATTAACAACAACAAAATCTCTTAAGTTAGAAAAAAACTGTATGCCAGGCCTGATGGCACAGCCTGTATCTCCAGCCTCATGGGAAGCTGAGGCAAGCAGAGGAACCCTCAAGGCCTGAGTTCTAGAGGGAGTCCTGGGCCATCTAGGGAAGCTAATGAGGTCCCCTCTCAAAATAAGAAGTATAAAACGGGCTGGGAATGCAGCTCGGTGAGAAAGCACTCGCCTAGCTTGCACAGCTCCCCAGGCTCAATCTCTAGTACCGTGGAAAAAAAGGAATTTAAATTCTTAATTACATTTATTAGCTGGGGGATGGGCATGATGTAGAGATGAAAGGTCAACTTGCAGAGGTCCATTCCCTCCTACCAGGCGGGTTCCAGGGATCAAACCCGGGTTATTAGGCACCTTTACCAGGTAAGCCATCCCACTGGCCCAAGATGATGTTTTAAAAGAATGCCAGTTCTGAAATCAGGATGATTTGAGTTGAAGTTCAGCCTCATCACTAACTGCTGTGTGTCTCTAGACAGTGACTTGACCTCTCTGAATCTGCTTTTTTACTAAAAGGGAGCAGGGAGCAGTACCCTCTCACTGTAACAACTCAAGGACTCAACAGACCAACAGATGGCAGGTGTCCCAAATAGCTCGGGACACATCCTGGTGGGGAACATCCCCTCTCGCTGATGAGGTCATTGTTAGACTTAACTTGGAAACTGAGAAGGAAGTGAATAAAGTATATGGGAGCTGGGGGGGATATGTTAAGACAGGCTGGCCTTTGGGGGGCATGTTCAGACAAGTTGTCCTTCAAGTGAGAGCTTTTTTAGGGGACTTATGAATGTCACAGGCAAACAGGCAGCCCCTGTGCAGTGGGGACCAAGAGAGACTAGGGTTCTGCTAGACAAGAGAGGTGTCCATTCTCAGGAGAGGGGGATGTCCCACCCCACAAGATGGCAGGCTTAGTTAGTGAGCAACTGTGGGATGCGGGTAGGCACTACTACAAGTGAGGGACTGGTCTGGGTGCTTCTCCCTGCAGCAGCCTTATCTGCATAGGGCCTGCTTGCCTTGGTTACCTGAAAGGCCTGGGTTGTCTAAGTCATAGGAAACCATGTTCTTATATCACAGTAGGTTTAAAGAGATTCCTCTATACCCAGGGGCAGATCCCTGCCAAGAATGAGCTCATAGCCCCTTCTGCCTACACTCAAGATGTGTCCTAAAGGAAGGGACAGGAGAAGGCCAAGCCATGAGCATAGTCTGGCCAAGGTGAACATCACACAGGAGACAGTCATTCAAAATGGGTTATTGAGTTACATCATTTGACCCGCCCTTTTAAAGCAGGAGTAGGTCTCCCCTCTCCTAGCCCAGTACAAACTCCAAAGGCACTTGCTCCCCCACACCTCAAACAACAAAAAATTTCCAAGAGTCACCTACCTGGGACACAAGTACAGCAATCTGACTGTGGGGGAGTCTTGCAGGGACCAGGGGGACACTCCGGGGAGATACAAGACACGTTTCCAGCCTGAGGAGGCAAAGGATGGTAGTGGGGACAAGGGTAGGGCCAGGTTCTCTGTCAACCACACCTTTAATCCCAGCACCTGGGAGGCAAAAGCAGGCAGATCTCCCTGAGTTTGAGGCTAGCCTGGTCTACATCACAAGTTTCAGGCCATCAAGGGCTACTTGAGACTTTTCTTTTTTATAAAAGATAGATAGATAGATAGATAGATAGATAGATAGATAGATAGATAGATAGATAGATAGATAGATAGACAAATAGATAGATAATTTCAAGTTAGGAGCTGGAGAGATGGCTCTGTGGTTAAAAACACTTACACTTTCTACTCTTCAAAGGAACAGGCGTTTGTTTCCCAGAACTCACATCAGGCAGCTCACAATAGCCCTTAACTCTAGCTGCAAGAGATCCGATACCTTATTCTGGTCTCTGAACACCCCTGCTCACATACACAATAATCATGGGGTTGGGGAAATGGCTCAGTGGCTGAGAGCACTTCTTGCTCCTGCAGAAGAACCAGGTTCAGTTCCCAGAACCCCCAGGGTATCTCACAACCATCTGTAACTCCAGTCCCAGGGGATCTGACACCCTCTCTTCTAGCCTCCAAGGACACCAGGCACCAAGGGCACCAGGCATAGACACATATGTAACCAAAACACTCATACACAGGAAAATACATAAATAAATCTTTTTTTTTTTTTTAGCCTGCACGTATGTCTCTGCCAGGTGCCAGATCCTCTGGAACTGGAGTTACAGACAGTTGTGAGCTGTCATGTGGGTGCTGGAAATCAAATCTAGGTCTTCTGAAAGAGCAGCTGGTGCTCTTAACCACTGAGCCATCTCTCCAGCCCATAAATAATTTTTTAATAAATAATTTAAAAGTCAAAATAGCTGGGCGTTGGTGGTGCACGCCTTTAATCCCAGCACTCGGGAGGCGGAGGCAGGCGGATCTCTGTGAGTTCGAGGCCAGCCTGGGCTACCAAGTGAGCTCCAGGAAAGGCGCAAAGCTACACAGAGAAACCCTGTCTCGAAAAACCAAAAAAAAAAAAAAAAAAAAAAAAGTCAAAATAATAAAGTACTTTTATTTGAGAGAGAATCTCACAGCCCAAGCTGTCCTGTCTTGGAACTCAATATGTAGATCATGCTGGCCTCAAAATCACAGAGATCTGTCTGCCTCTGCCTCTTAAGTACTAGGATTAAAGACATGCCACCATACCCGACACAAAATACATCTTTAAAAACAATTTTGAAGTTAAAATTTAAAAAAAAACTCTCCAACATTAGGGTCATCTAGACCTGAGTTCCAGTGTCTATGTCTGTTGCAGAATATTAATTTGACTATGTAAAGATGTGTTACATTTGTTTATGTTGTGGAATATTACTTTAACTAGGCAAAGATGTGTTACATTTGTTTATACTGCATTTAACTATGTAAAGATACGTTGCTGTTGTACCTTGCCTGCCTAGGTAAGGCACATTTATTAGATTGGTCTAATCAAAAAGCAGAATGGCCAATAGCTAGGCAGAAGAGAGACAGACAGGGAAGGCAGGCAGGGGGAACAGGAGGAGGAATTTGGGCTGAGGGAGAATGGAGTAAAGCATACAGAATGAAAAAAAGGTAAAAGTCCCAAGGCAAAACATAGACGAAAAGAAACAGGTTAATTTAAATTATCAGAGCTAGCAAGAAACGAACCTAAGGTAAGGCCGAGCTTTCATAACTAATAAGTCTCCGTGTCATGATTTGGGAGCTGGTTGGTGGTCCCAAAGAAAGCCTGTAACATATGCCTCCATGAACAAGATTTTAGGCAAAGGATATCACATCTCCAGGAGCTTCTACCATGGGCCTCACTACATAAAAATGGGAGAATGCACACAAGTTCCTAGTCTCTGCATGCTTAGCACACAGGAAGAGCTGGATGAATGCTACCGGCATTCTGTGTGTCCCTGATCATACACCACCCTATCCACCATTGTGGCCGGCCATGTTTAAAGATGGACAGAGGGTGGCAGCAAGGATTGGTATTCAAAGCCTATAACAGACCTCAGTTCAAACCTCAGCTCCACCAGCTCCCAGCCTCCATCTCTGAATCTGTAGATCAGGGACAGTATTGCCCACCCTGCACTTGCTGGGAGCCTCTGGTTAGGGAACAGAGGAAGGGCACCAAGCCTGTGCCTGACATACAGTGGGTGTTCAAAATCAAATGCATACAAGCAGCATCTGGCACAGTAAATGCTTATGATTACTCTTTGAGGAGTGAACTTGCTAGAAGCAGAAATACTCTTAAGAAGGCCAGGGAGCTTAGTGAGGCTGCTCTCCCCCACATGGACACCTTTGTTGTGGTAATAAATATTTTGCCTGGAGAAAACTTCCCTGGTGAAGTTCCTGAGACAGTTCCATCCTTTCCCTTCCCAAACAGGTGGACCCTGTTCTGCCCTGGCTCTCTCACGCACAGCACACACAGCCTCCCAAGTCCATTGGCCAGATGGATGCTTCTCTGACCCTCTCAAGCTGTTTAGACCCAAAGCCCTGAAGCAAGCTCCCTTCAACATCCAGTCTGCACCCCTCCTTGACAACACCCAAAGGCTGAGAAGACAGCCGGTGGGGATCTCAGGTTGCTCACCAGGCAGACACACACAGTGCAGTTCTCCTCCGGAGGTGAAAACACTTCCCCTTCTTCCCGGATGGCACCACTGTGAAAGCAGCCTTAGAAAGACAAACGAGATGGGGACATCAGCCTCCTCCAAGAGGAGGAAACCCGAGGTCTCCACTTTTCCAGGAGTCATTGTTAGGATCCTGCCCTCACTCCCGCACATGCACAGGTCGCGGTCTTGCGTCTTCCATCATCAGTGTACACTGTCGACTACGAATGTGCCTTAAAAAGCCGGCTGCAGACCCCACGCTCTTTCTCTGCTCTCCGCTCCCTGCTTGCTCTGCTCTGCTCCCCTCTTCCCCCACCCCACCATCTTTCTCTCTCACCAGGCCTGGTCCCCCGCCCCCCCTTCCTCCTAATAAAGCTCTGAATACTGATACTGGGTCATGACCGTGACCTTTCCACGCCACCATCAGTGCCAATTATCCTTTCAATAATACTTCTGGAACCCCCTCTCACCACCCCAGCAATGGCAGACATAGGTTCCTTGAACTAAGTGGTCCTAGGACCTCTGGGAAACAATACAGGAGTGACATGCAAGATCAAGCGGCTCTGAGAGTGTTCATTCAAGCGTGTCTTGAGAAAGCATCGTTTTATTCCCATCACACAGGACAGCTTAGGTTCCAAATGGGGAATTCTAGCTCCATTTCCCCAAGCGGTCTTGCCTATGCCACCTTGCCTCTCTGCAACTCAGCTATTTTTACCATAAAATGGAAATATCGCCAGGCAGTGGTGGTGCACACCTTTAATCCCAACACTTGGGAGGCAGAGGCAGGTGGATCTCTGAATTCGAGGCCAGCCTGGTCTACAGAGTGAGTTCCAGGACAGCTAAAGCTACACAGAGAAACCCTGTCTCGAAAAACAAAAACAAACAGAAAAACAAAATGTAAATATCACTATGTACCCAGCAAGAGACCTGAAATGATCCACAATCTTGGTTATAAAGAGAACTCAGTTCTTTCCACCAGGGCCCTATAAGAACCAATACAGGCACTTCTTTGCCAAACTCTGGGGCGGGGGATTGTTTTTATGGTGATGCAGATTGAATCAGGACCTACCTTACACATACTAGGCGAGCACTAAGCCCCAGCCCCAGCCTGGGCCTGGGAGGAAGGCGAAATGACTGTCCTCCAGCAATCCAAGGGCAGGTGGGACAGGGGAAGGGGCAACAGAATGGATGTGGACTCATGGAAGGAAGGAAGGAATGAACCAAGGAGGAAGGGAAGGAGGGAGGGAGGGAAGGAGGGAAGGAGGGAGGGAGGGAAGGAGGGAAGGAGGGAGGGAGGGCAGGCCAAGAAGGGTGGCCTGATTAATGTTTCTCCTTTGAGACACGCTGTTTTCAAAGTGAGATTCCAGATCACTAGTTTGTCTGTTCTCAGACCCACCCCTGAACCTCCAATCAGAATCGGCCTCCCAGGTGACTCCAAGATCCGATTGTGCGGAAAGTTGAATAATAAATAGCCCTTGGGCTTCAAGAGGCTAGGGAGAGAAAGAGCAGGGCTGGGTCCCTCCCCATCAGCTCTTACCAGTGCAAGAGGGGCAGCATCCCCCATCTCTGGGGGGGATCGGATGGGAACAGGTGGTGTTGCATCTCACTTTTCCACAGGTCACCTCTCCATCCTGGACACACAAGCTGGAGTTGCAGTCACAGTCAGACCCCAGACACTCCACCAGGGCAGCCCGGGGGACTTCACACCTACCTGGCACAAGCACTGAGAACAGCCAGGTTGGCTCCAGCGGCTCCCCGATTCATATGTGGCTCCCTGGTGCCGGCAGGAAGAGAGCCCTGTTCCCAGACTTGTGCCTTCCGGGCCCCTGGGTAAGGAAGGGGTCCCTACTGCCTCCCCCTGGAGGAGTGAGGGGGGTCCGAGGGTCCCCGGGAGGGAAGAACTTGGCCCTGGGGTGGATAGCAACTGTGTGGGAAAGAATGTGGGTAGGGCCAGGGTGGTAGATGGCTGATGGGTTGTTCTGACTCCAGTGGGGTATCCTGGGGCCCCTGGGGGAGGGCTGTGTCCTGGGGACAAGGCAGGCCGGCCTGCCTCCGGAAGGAGCAGGGACATCTTAGCAGGGTGCTGCCGGGGCTGCAGGATGGCAGATGGAGCCAGAACGGCCTTCGGGAAAGCTGAAATGGAAACACAGGGTCTCCTGAGGGAGGCAGCAGGGGCAGGAAGTGGGGTTCTGGGGTCCTAGATTGGCCCAGCAGTTTCCTCATCAACATAATGTAGCCAGCTGTGAACTACTGGCCACGGTGACAGTCACAAGGGAAGAAGGCAGGGAAAACACTAATGGGCAAGAAAAGATCCCAAGCCCGCAGCAAGGGGTCCAACAGCGCCGAGATTCACCTGCGCTCCCTTTCTTAATAGCTACAAAGGGAACACAAGTTTCCTAAGACTAGACCTCCAGGGTCCATCCTGGGAACAAGTCTCCCCAGTTGCTAGGGGCTGGGGTCTGTGTGCCCTGCTTCCCACCTAGCTCTGGCTTCCCTGCAGGGGCTCGGGCTCAGGATGAGGGGTCAGGGCAGGTTCTCTCCAGCGTCACAACAGACTGCCCCCACTGTGGGAGGAGGATCCTGCCCCCACATATGTACTTGGAAGCTCAGTGGGAATTTTCCCTACGGATGAGCATCCCCTCGCCAGGGGGATGGAGAATCCCTGAGGGCCTGTGTCACACCTTTCTTCCTTCATCATTATTGGTTTGTTTGGGTTCGGTTCGGTTCTTTCTTTTTACCGTGTGTGTGCAATGTCTGGGAGCAGTGAAAAGAGGAAAGGATTGGATAGAGACGTCTTGGCGCTGGAGAGCCTTCTCAGGGCTTAAGAGCACTGCCTTCTCTTGCAGACGACCAGGCTCAGTTCCTGCAGCCACATGGCGGCTCACAACCATCCATAACCCCAGTCCCAGGAGCTCAGACACCCCCTTCTGGCCCTCCTAGAGCACATGGTACACATACATACCGTCAGGTAAAACACTCATAATCCACATAAAATAAAATAAACAACCTTTTTATTTAAAAAAAAAAAAAAAAAAAAAAAAAAACAGGCTAGAGGGATGGCTCACTGGTTAAGGGCGCTAGCTGCTCTTGCAGAGGACTCAGGTTCAGTTCCCAGCACCTATTTGCTGCTGTAACTCCGGTGTTAGGGGATCTGACACCCCCTTCTGACCTCCACAGGCACCAGGCACACACACATAAGCAGGCAAAACATTCATATGCATAAAACTTTTTTGTAAATAAACTTTAAAAATGTAAAATGGAAAGAGAAAGGAAGGAAGAAAGTGGGGATATTGGAAATGACAAAAGGACTGGACAAAGGGGGGGGATTAAAGAAGGGGTCCGGCACAGAGGTGGGGCCTGTGGTTAGGGGTGAGGCCTGGTACCACAAGGGCAAACCAAGATCTAAAGTGTGGCCTGGAGCCAGGGGAACAGGGACAAGATCTATGGGGTAGGGTCTTGTGCCGAGAAGGCAGGACGAAGGTCTAGAGGGCAGGGTCGGGGCCTGGTGCTCACCTTCACAGGACACACGGTCAGCTCGAACTCACCTTCACAGGACACACGGTCATCTCGAACTCACCTTCACAGGACACACGGTCAGCTCGAAGCCTGAAGCCGGGTCTGCAACTGCACAGGAAGCTGCCCACTGTGTTATGGCAGGCGTGGTGACAGGCTCGCCTCTCATGCGGTCGCCGACACTCGTTCACATCTGTGGAAGAGCCTCACTGCCTCACCTTGGCCATGGAGCCCTTTCTCCTCCCATCCGGAACTCAAGAGACGGGCAGAGTTCCCCTGGAATTCTTATAGAGTCCATCCCCACTCCAGGGGGCAAGACGTGACTCAGAATGCTGGGAATAGGGCTGGTATTTATCAGCAGTAGCCTTGGAAACTTCATGTATCCAGTGGGTGGGTGTGTATCTTATTCTCAGGACAAATAAGTGCTCAACCCTGGTGCAAATCTCAGACCCATACCTTCTGCAGTCTGGCATTCTTTGGTAAACAGTGTCTTAAAACTCATTATCCTGCTCAAAGCAGGCTCAAGACAAATACCTCTAGTACAAGGTCTTTTCCAAGCTCGTGGGACCCCACTTTTGACCCATGAACCAAACATGGTAATCCCTTTCTGGAAATTTCTAATAGGCTGAGAAAACAGGAGTCTCTTTCTAAACAAAAGGATCCAAAACATGAAGTACTTTGTTTACCCTAGGAGCAAAGGCAGCCTAGAAAATGGGTGAGCAGAGAGGAGTCCTTAACGTGTATCTGGGAGAGCAGTGATAAGAATATAGCAGAATGAAAGAAGACCTAGCCAGGAACGCCCAGCTTGGGGTCTTTCATGCAGAGTGATGTCATCAAGCATGGGATGGGAGTACTCTGAGCAGAGGATCCACAAGACCGGAAGGTCCAAATGTTGGTCTTCCCAGATTCCAGACTGACCTGTCCATCTTCCTGATTAACAGCCTAAGTGTATCACCGGCAGGCTGCAGATCTCACCTACACAGGAGTGCCTGTTGCCGTGGAGGTGGAAGCCGGCGCGGCAGGAGCATTTATAACTGCCAATGCTGTTCTTACATCTCTGCTGGCAGGGAGTTCCCAGGCACTCATCGGTGTCTGTGAGGGGAGAAGATGAAGCTGGCACCCATCTCTCAACAGGGCTTAAACTCCTCCCATCCCCCTCTCTCACTCCACTCAGGGCCATGGAGACCATCTTTCCAAACTTCTCCGCCCTCACCATCTCGTCCCAGCCCAACCCACCTTGTCTCTAGGCTGGAGAGCAGATGCAGCCTCCCTGAGTCCTCTGCCTCTGCCTCTGTTCTTCCCGAACCATCATCCCATAATAGTCTCTAGGAGGTCCTCTCCCAAGGTCATCTGCAAGGGGCCACTCTCGGCTCCAAACCTCTCAGGGCCCTCACCCACAATAAGCAGCATTCATGAGACCGTTAAATATGCTATGGGGGCCAGTGAAATGGCTCAGCAGACAAAGGTGCCTCCCTCCAAACCTGTGAGTTAGATCCCTGGGACCCACACACGATAAAAGAACTCCCAGAAGTTGTTCTCTGCCCCCCCCCCCATGCACACTCCAATGTAAGAAAAATAAACAAATAAAACAAACACAGCTATGGACAGACAGTCCCAGCCACCACCTTGTTTATTTTCCCACATCTTCTAAACACATCCCATTCTTGTCTGTCTGTTTGTTTGTTTGTTTGTTTGTTTGTTTGTTTGAGACAGAGTTTCTCTGTGTAGTTTTGGTGCCTGTCCTGGATCTTGCTCTGTAGAGCAAGCTGGCCTCGAACTCACAGAGATCCGCCTGGCTCCGCCTCCTGAGTGCTGGGATTAAAGGCGTGTGCCACCACCGCCCGGCTAACACATCCCATTCTTATGGCCCTCCCCTTGGACTCATAGTCTGTCTGCCCCAATGTCTTTCCCTCTTGTCTGAACAGAAAAGAAGTCTTCTGTGGACTTAAAAACTTTCCTCTACAGAGCCTCCCACATAGAAACTTCCCCAGGCTGTTTGAAGCTGGGGAAAAAGAAAAAAATTAAACTAGAGATAACCTCCCTGTTTGTCAGCAGAAGAACTCATAAGCTATGGGACACTTGCACCACAGAGAACCAAGCAGCAGTTTAAAAACAACAACAAAAACAGATCTATCTGGTCTGCTCACCTGATGTGGGAAGAGCCTTTAAGAGCAATCAGCTGCTCAGGGAAAAGAAATTGGAAAAGCAACTGGGATGAGACCCCCCCAGCTCCAATGTGATTGTGGGTAAATTGCTTAACTGTGTGAAGTCTCAGAGTTCTTCTCAGTGAGATGGAGATAAACAGTGTCCACTTCCTAACTGTATGGATGGAAATGCTTAGCCTGGCGCCCAGCATGGGCAAGTTTGGTCATTAATAAGCCTGTATAGATGCACATGTAGAACATGTGGCTGAGAGAGGCAGGCAGGCAGGCAGGGCCTCGAGACGGAAAGTTCACACTGAAAGCTAGCTTCCCAAGGTGCAAGTGCTTCGGAGGTAGGGCTCTGGGGGATAATTAGGGTTAGATGACGTCACAGGGTGGGGCCTTAATGATGATGGATTAATGCCCTTAGAAGAGTCATCAAAGCACCCTGTGTCCCTCCCTCTCAACATCTTGGGCGGACACAGCAAGAGCATCTTCTTCACACCAGAGGAACCCACGCAAAGCTAGCCAGTACCTTGGCCTTAGACGGTGGCTCTGCAGGGGCTGAGAACAAATTCCTGTGGTCTAAGCAGCAACTCAAGCAGACTAGGAAAGCAGGGCTCTCTAGGGTGGGCAGAGGAGGGCGATGGGAGAGAGGACCTGAGGCTCACACCATAGTGCTCAAGATTCTTAGATCTGTTGAAATTTCACATGCAGAGAAAATAATAGCACAGACTCAAGGGGCTTATTTTGTCTCCTCTGCCTTGTTGTGTGACTGTGATGAGAATCTTCCTCCATCTTGGTACCTCCTGCCCTGGGGGCATCTGCCCCTTGTTCTCCCTGGGACGGTTCCTTCATCCCCATCCTTCCTATGACGGAAGCAGATTTTAGAGCATCTTGGTTCAGAGCAAGTCCACCATGAATGCTGGGCATGGGCATAGGGGCACACGCCTATAATTCCAGCACTTGGGAGTCAAAGGCAGGTTCAAGGCCAGCATGGTCTACAAAGAGAGTTCCAGGACAGCCAGGGATATGTAGGGAGATTCTGTCTCAAAGAAACAAAACAAAAGAGTCCACCATGATGGACTTAAACCCTAAGTCCCACCCCTTACAAACAGAACGGATGTGAGTGAACCTTCGTTTTTCCCCAGTAAAGCGGGAATTACACAGCATCCTTCTCAGAGGACTTGGCACAGAGGATGCATCTTCCGGACCTGGCAGGGCCTAGAAGCCGCTCCCGACACCTCTGCCCCGCTCACCTTGGCAGCTATGACGATCAGCGGACAGCTGCATGCCTGGCCCACACTCGCACACGAAACCACCTTCCGTGTTCACACAGTGGCCCTCACAAGATGAGCTTAAACACTCGTCAATGTCTGAGAAAAGAAAATCCTTACTCCAACTGTGGCTGTGACTCCAGGAAAAGGGACCCCAGTTTTGAGGGGTCATGTGTGGAAGATGGAGCATCCATCAGCAAAGTGCCATGGCCATGAGGGGAGCCCCAGAAAGAGGAGATAAAAGGACAGAGGAACTGACCCCTACTCTTAACCCAGGTTAAATGGTGGGAAAGCATGCCTGAGGAGAACCATTTTGATGGTCCTTATGGGGCGACCTTCAGGTCCCCAAAATGACAGGGCCCAGTGAACAGTGTCATCCACTAGATGTTCACTGAGCACCAGGTGTGAGCAGGAGACTCAGGGAGGGGCTACTGACTGCCTCGGACAGGACATCGTGGCTCCAAGGCCCAGAGGGTGACATACGCCCTGCTCAGGAATAACCTGCCACAGCAGGCGTGTCCTGGAAGAGAGTGGGGTTAGGAGAATCAGGAGCATGGAGAGCCTTTTCTGAGTGGGGAAGGGTTTGAGGACCTGGGAATAGCTGCTGGGCTCTCTGGAACTGCACTGAGCCCCCCAACAGCCACCACTGTCCTCCACATGCATGTCATAACACACATACATAAATAAATGGGGGAGGGGGAGGAAATGCCATCATGAAACCTGTTACTTTGAATACTAAGCTAAAATTCAGTTTAACAAAAACTCCAGTAACTGCAGCCCCGATTTCATGAAGAACACATACATATAAACCTTATATACACATCTACACACAAGAGCATGTACATGCCCAGATAAAGGAACAGAGAAAGCACTTCGTTTTGGTAGGAACACTCTGAGTGGGACTCAAGGAAACATTCACTTTCAACTTTCTACTTACTTTCACATGCTTCCAAATGAGTTCTCATTTACTTTACTAGTCCGTGGGAAAGCAGTAGAGTTTACTGTTAAAACTTCAAAAAGGGCAGCGTCATGGCGCACACCTTAAAACCCCAACACTGGGAGGTAGAGACAGGGGGATCTCTGTGAGTTTGAGGCCAGCCTGGTCTACATAGTTTGAGCCTCTCTCAAGATAAACAAACAAACACATTCCAAAAAGGGACAAAGCAGATGGCTGAATAGGTAAAGGGCCTGCCATACAAACCTGAGCTCAGGTTCCCCAGAATCCACATGAAAGCTGGGCACAAACAGCACATGCCTCCTGTAACCCCAGCTTTGGGGGATGCAGGGCATGGATACTCACTGGTCAGCCCAGACAAATCAACAAGCTCTAGGTTTAGTGAGAGACCCTGACTCAAAAACTAAGGTAGAGGGCCATGGAGGGAGACACCTAATGTTGATTCTGGCCTCCACATGCCTGTGGACACATGTACCTGCACATGTACATACACCACATATACTTATATTTTTGGTTGTGAGCCTAGCCTTTAATGGCTGAGCCATCTCTCCAGCCCACACCACATATACAAACAAACACAAAACACCTCCAACCAGGCTTTTGCCTCTGAAGAGATGGACAAGAAATTGGTCATAGCAACCATCTCTGACAGAGGTCACACACTCTGCCTACAGTGACTTAAAATCAAGAAAATAAATAATAGGAGCTGGAAAGATGCCTCGGCTATTGAGAGCACTTGTTCTTGCAGAGGACCCAGGCTCAGTTCCCAGCACCCATGTGGAAGCTCACAACCAGCTGGGACTCGGTTCCGAGGGATCAGATGCCCTCTTCTGTCCTCTTCGGGCACTCCACACACATGGTGTATATTCATGCAGGCAAAATGCCTGTACACATAAAATAATAATAAAAACATTTTTAAACCATCCCACAACATAAAAAAGAAAACAAATAATACTTTGACAAAATAGTGACTGAGTTTTAGTTCCCTCCGTTTTCAGTGTCTGCTGACTCCAATCCTGTCTCCATGTTCCTCTGAGCCCAGCACCCTGGACTTTCTTAGACACTGCCCCTGTTACATTGGGACTGTCCTTATCCTTGTCCCCCTGCCCCATATTTGGAAACTCTCCGATAGCAGCCACTATTTGGTCACCTGTCACCTCAATCCCAACTCTGCTCCTGCCTATAAATACATGTGAAATAATAGGAAGACGGTACCCTTGGATTGCTGGACTCTAGCTGGCCCAGGGAGGAGATGCCATTCCACCCTCCCCCTCCCCATCCCAGGCCTCTCACCTGCACACCTGATACCAACAGCTGTCTCAGTCATCAAGAAGCCCACAGGGCACACTCGGGCTACCTCCTGACAGCCACCGTGGTTACAGGTGAGATCACAGCCATACTCCCCGCAGGATCCATGGGCTTCTAAAACACACAGCACGGAAGTGGGCCGTGTCAACAAAGCAGCATCATCGCAGGTGGCAGTCTGGCCTCTCAGATGTCCTAAGGCTCCTCCTGAATTCTGTTGCAGGGGGTAGTGTTGGCAGAGGGACAGCAAACAGATCTCCCGTCCACGTCTACTGCTTACTAGCCATGTGGATGGTTAATATCGATTGTCAGCTTCCCAGGATCTTGAGTCAAATGGGAGGAAACCTCTGGGCATGTCTCTGAAGGAGTTGCTAGACTGGGTTGAGATGGGGAGACCCACTCTAACTGTGGAAGGCAAACATTCCACAGGTTGGGAGCCGAACGGAATACAAATGAGAAATTGAGCCAAGCAATGGCATTCAGCTCTTGGTGCGTCCTGACTGTGAGTTGCCTGGCTCTTCTGGTGCCGGGCCTTCTCTGCCCTGATGGACTATAAGCCCAAATTAACTTCTCCTCCTCTGAGCTGCTTTGCTTAGCTGTTTTGTTACAGCTGCAACAAATGTAGCTAATGCATCAAGGGACCCAGGAAAAGCCAATACTTCTTTGTCTCAGCCTCAACAGTCAAAGAGGTATGGGAATGCCTACCTAAGTGGGCGTCTTGAAGGTGCTACGCTAGAACCTATCTCAAGTACCCAATGTCAGGCACATAATCTTCATGTGAATTGGTGGTCCCCCATCAGCCATTGTCCATCCTGGTTACCTGGGCAAGTGGCCCCTTGCTCTCCATCCTGGCAGGAACAGACATTGGGGGCGATGCAGATGCCACTCCCACAGCCAAAGGAGCAGAGGGCTGAGGGGAAAAATGCAGGTGAGGGACTGGGCACCGGCAATGCACGGCACTGGTGTGTGCTGAGGAGGCGTGGGTCACAGGGATGGGTACTTACGTAGGGTACAGTGCCCACTGCCCATGGAAGGGGCCCAGCCAGGGCAGCAGCCACTCCCAAAGCCGGAAAGGCAGACATGGGGGCCCAGACGACGTCTGCAAGAAAAGAGCACTCTCCACAATCTGCATGGAGAGTAGCAGAATCTCCCAATTCATCCACTGGTCTGTAAGTTAGTTAACAGGGTTCTCAGGACCCCCAGGGAAAAGCAATGGGAAACTCCTAAATGATCCACAATCCCTCCTGGGAGTGAGACTAGACAAAAGCGTAAGAGAATAGATAAAAGCTTCATTGTCTATGTCCTCTTTACTCCCTGAGGACAAGAGCGTCTTATCTGTTCACTTCAACACCTAAAATACCTAATACCTGATCAATAAATGGGAGGCCAGAAAAGGAAGAAAGCAGAAGGTCTGGGTGGCATCCCCTAGGATGCCAACAAGGTACTCAAGGCCAGGCCCAGAAGGGTCTGCCCAAGTAAGAACACCCTATGGAGTATCAGGTGATCTGGAGCCGGTGTCCAAAAACGGCAGGCAGTAAAGCCGGGAATATGCTACTGTCCTCGCTTTCAAAGGACAGACAGGATCCAGGTGATGGGAACTGAGCGTAGTAGTGACCCTAGGAGGGCTCATGGAACCTTGAAGAGGGCCAGGAGAGGGTCCCCGGAAGGACAGCTTCCCTGCTGCAAGCAAAAGAAGACCAGAGAACGGGTATGAAAAGGAGGAAGGAGGGGGCATTCCAGGCAGAGGGGACATCGGCAGGGACTAGAACTCCTTAAGCAAGGGCTGGAGCAAGATTCATGAATCCACTCAAGGCAACAGTCACCAGATGACTTTTCCCACATTCTCAGTCAGAGCTGAAGGGAATTTCCCCCACCAGCCAGAGCACCCTCTCTGTGTCTGTCCCTGTATCGGACACAAAGGATATAGGACAAGATAGGGTTAATAATCTGTGCCAAATGTGGGAAGCTTAGGGGACCATGACAGTACAGGGCACTGTCTCTGGGGCCAAGTCCTTTTTCTTCTCAGAAGACAAATCAGGGCCTGGCAATGATGTCACACACATAGGCATGATGAATGCAACCGTCAAGGAGAGTCCGGCAGCTGGGATCCTCAAAAGAGCTAAACAGCCAAGCCAAAGGGGACTCCGAAAGGGACATGAGGTGCCATCAAAGTGGTAAATGGTAGGATGGGTGCCTGGGGAAGCTGGTGGAGTTCCACCCTCAGGTAGGCAGGGGCAGAGCGCCCACCACAAAGCCCCAAGGCGCTTCTCACGTGCGGTGGTGCCAGGGAGGCAGATGGCGGTAGACTGAGCCTGCGCTGGACTGCTTCAGTCGGCAGGAACTGGCAAGGGGTCCGCGGAACCCACGTGTTGAGCTATAAGCCCTTCCTTTAGGGCTGCCCCCGCTGTGCGCCCCTGGGAAGATGTGGCTGTGGGCCAGACTATCCGCTGACACCGTGTTCCCTTGCCATGAGCATCACGCACACACGATCACCACTCCCTCACCACCCTACTGTGGTGGAGGACTGGGACACCCTTAGGGAGGATTACAGGGCTCGGAAAGACACGCCTCCCGCTTCCTCGGCCTGTGCACACATGCGCAGAAACCAAAGCATAACCCTGAGCCACCGGTGGCTCCAAGGTCCACGGAGTGCGCAGAGCAAGGGACACTGAGAAAAACCTCCAATCCCAAGGCAATGGGTGCAGAAGTGGAGGAGGCCCCGCACTGCCAAAGAAGAAAGCCAGACAGTGGAGACCAGACGGCATGTGCTGGGGTCCCCTAGCCACCGGGTCAGCGCCTTCACTTAGTACTTAGACTCACACGGAGCCGGGATCCCATCTTCCATATGCCCTAGGCAGAGCAGTCCCCAGCCAGGGCCACCTAACTGGCACAAACTGCTCTTTGTCCAGACCCTCTGGTGCGCCTACACCACAGAGGATACTGGTCCTGCGGCTGCCCTCTGCCAGCTCCACGCCGTGGCGCTCGGTGGCTGGGCCGCTGAGAGGCGCTGGGCTCTTACCTCTCTGCCGAGTAGTGCCCGGGCGCCTTCCTCCCGGTGTAGCCTCGGGCTGAAGACCCCAGCAACAGGATCACGATGCAGGCAACACGGAGCAACAGTCCAGCCCACATGACTGGCAGCAGCGCTCCTGGACTCCAGTGGGCTCAGGTCCCCCGCACCGGGGAAGGGGCTGCCGACCTTGTCCCTCCTCCTAGGAACGATCCAATCCCCCCAGCTGGCAGGAGGATCAGGATGCCGAGAAGAGGGCTAGGGTTTGGGGGAGGACTGCCTGGAGAGGCAGGGGGTGGGGGTCCTTGCACCTTGGAGAGAAACACACAAAAGGAGCGCCGCCCGCCGGTGCCTCTCCGGGAGGCGTGGAGCCTGGGGCGGGAGCAAAGATCAGGGACCCCGAGGGCGGGGTTTCACCCTCGGCCCACACCCCCTGCCTGGGTTTGGGAGTCGCCTTCCACAGAGTGACTGAGGGCTTCAGGCCAAAGCCTGGGTTGGAAAGACACTTCAGGAACAAGGTTTTTGGGTTTCTGTGGAACCCAATACATCTGTATTCTCAGAAGGTGAGACTTGGAAACACTCAAACCCAGGACACTGGGTCTCTTGAGACTCTCCCCAAGCTAACCAGCTGGTCTGGACACATGTGTTGGTGGGTTAGTCTGCTCCCCATCCGAAGGGCATTAGCCTGTTTTGAACCCACAGACTACCTTGAGTCAAATGGTTGGATGGACAGCTTCCTGGCCCACTTGGAAGGTAAGAAAGCAGTGGGCAGTTGTTGGCAGTGGAGCCAGGGACACAGAACTAGAACGCTCCATTTTGGCCTCCTTTGCAGCTGGCCCAGGCCAGAAAGAGGTTTAGGTCGAGAAATGTAGAGCTAAGTGATGAATAGGACCAAGAAGGATCTAGCTGAGGGGAAGCTGAATGGAGGTCCACATTTTACCTTGTTCTGGAGCAAGGACCCTGCCTAACCCCACCCAGACTGGATTAGTCATGCTTTTGTGTAAAGACTCCCAGGAATAGGAAACTCGCTGCCATTAAAAATCAGCTAAACTAGTTTTAAAAACTAACTACACTTGTCTGAAAATGTACTTCCCAAACAAGTTCACTTGGTTCTGCCTCAGGCTGATCCCAAGATCCTTGGCATTGGTGGTCACAGATGAACACTGTGACCTGGACGCCAGCTGCCTTCCCACAGACACTTTACTTTTAGTTGCTGGGCCAAACACGTTAACTTGGGTGCTGGATGCTTATTGGTTCCCTTAGTTTGCAATCAGAGGAAAGCCTCAAGTGCTTTTGGTTGTTGTTTTCATGGCTAATCCTTGTTTTCAACTTGACCGGATTTAGAAGCACCTAGGAAATAAACCTTTGCGTGTGTCAGAACTATCACCAGAATGATTTAATTGAGTGGTAAAGACCCACCCTGAGTATGACTGGGCTGAATAACAAGACCATAAGCTGAGCACTAGCATTCATCTCTGCTTCTTGACTGCAAGTGTAGTGTGACCAGCAGCCCCAAGCTCCTGGTTCTATGCTTTCCTCACCATGATGGCTGCACCTTCAAACTGAGCAAAATAAACCCTCCCTTCCTTGCTTTTATGGGGGTATTCTGCCATAACAAGACAAGCAACTAATACAAGTTCTGTGATGATGGTATGAAAACACAAATTGCCAGCCATCTCTCTACCTCAACCCATGTGGCCGATGTTTGCAGACATTCACATTGGGGCCTGAATATCATCTTGTTTGGGCCCATCCTATAATCTAGTCAAGTTCTCAACGAGCGTATTGCCAAAGATGTGACTTCTGTATATGTACACATCCAGAATCCTAAGGACCTTTAAACTCCTTAGGGCATCTTTCTGGCCTGGAACATGCAGACTGCACTTGCTACTGTCATTACAAGACCATGCAATGGCCACTAGGTGCTCTTCCTTCTCACCTGTGGGAAGCTACCTCTAGAACCACTACACAAAGGATGAATTCCCTGATTACAGCCCTCATGGTTCAATGGCTCATGCCACCTGTCACTCACCATCCAGCATACTTCTGCCACTCCTGTTCCTTGCTGTACTTTAGGGAGCCCCACACCCTCTCTGCAGTGACTCATTCCCTGAGAGGGTTTGCTCCACACCCATCAACAGCAGGTGGAAGACGAAATTCTAATCTCTCAAGTGCAGAATTCTGGATATAGCAAAGGAGGAAATTCCAACTGGAGAAGCCCAAGCACTTTCCTGAGCTTCCCCAGCATTTATTTCCCCTAGAGTGTCCTCAGTCCTCTGGCATCACCTTGCCACTCATGTCAACTGTTGGCTCCTTCAGTTTCATTTGTTCTTCCTCGCCTTGTCTGGTCCTGGCGCTTCAGTTGAGTCTTTCACGTATCTGCTCATCTTCAGGGACTAGTTTGGTCAGATCCCTTAACTGATGATGTTCGTTTGCACAGTGCTTCCTCCCCACTTCTGTGGCTTCTGGCTTAACAAAAAGACCCTTCATTGAGTGCCAGATCCAAGATGCTGGCTGCAGAATGCAGGCCTCTGGTTTGACACCCTTCCAAATGGCCATGTGATGTAAATCAGTGTTTTAGTACTCTCCCCAAAGACCCCTCCTTTGGAGGCTTGGAGTAAGGATAGCTCATCAGTGCCTGCATGGAAGGGTCTGTCCAGTTGGCTGGAACAGAGCTCTCAAGATGACCTTTTACCCTGTGAAGTGATTAATGGTGTTTAAGAGGGAATTTGGGAGTGTGCAAGCAGAATGTCAGCATCCAAAGATTTCTAGAATTCAATCTCAAGTGAATATATACAATAAATAAATAAATGAGACTGGAGACGTAGTTCAATTGTCAAGCTCTCATCTATCATGTTAAAGCCATGTTCAACCTCAGTTCTCATCCCCAAATAAAGTGTCGTTACCACCTCCTCTGTCTCTGTAAGGGGCAGAAGCGTCCTCAAACAGGACAGCAACACATTACTCAGAACTGGATGTGGAACCTTGGTGGAGTAAGTTTGACTTGGCATGAGGGTGAGGTGGTAATAATTCAGCCTAAGGACCCAGAACCTGAGCAGAATGGTTGCAGGAAACACAACAGCAAAACACTGCAAAGACTCTAGATTCCAATTTCAAGACAGACCACTGATGATGATCAAGGCAGTTTGTCTGTGGTAGTAGGTCAACCCACTAAAAAGCCCAGAATAGCTAGTGATTGTGCATGCCTATGTTTCTAGCACTCTAAACACTTGGGAGGCAGAGCCAGAACCAATGCCAGCCTAGGCTACAAAACAAGACCTTGTCTCAAAAAAGGACACATAGACACACACACAGCATCAGAGTTGAGTATGGTGCTCTAGGCCTGTATTCCAACACTTGGGAGGTCTAAAGCCAGCCTGGGATACATTACAGACCAACCAGGACTATAGTATGAGACCATCTCAAGCCACCCTTTGAAAATAAACCTGCCAGGTTAAGCGCAGTGGTGCACACCTTTAGTCCTAAAGGTGTGGAAGGAGGAAGAGAAATGTGAATTTCTGTTGAGTTCCAGGCAAGCCAGGGCTACAAAGTAAGAAAGGCCCCATCAAAATATCAAAAAAACAAAATGAATCAAGACAGAACCACCACTAGCATCGTCAACCTGTCATCGCAGAATTCAGTTTCAATGATAACCACAAACTGGAGGTTATTGCTTGTCTGACTCGTTAAAACTGGTCTCTGGTATTGGGGATGGGCCTTTTTCATATTTAAACTTCAATTTTAAGAATTTTAATCAGTTCCAAATTCAAACTACGGCTTTTGATATGTTGATCTTTTTCTAAAGACCCCTAACCCTAACTCTCAAAAATCCTGGCAGAGTAAGGAGAAAAGGATGCCAATGAAGCAACGTCTCCAGAGACAGACTTAGCAGCAGGCCCAATGCTGGGGTACTTCCTTGCCCTTGTTTTCAAGCTAGACTCTCTCAAAACAGTAGCTTAACTTGAAACCCCAATTTTCCTGATACTTCATCAAAGACTGGTCTTTTGGTTTTTCAAGACAGGGTTTCTCTGTGTAGACCAGGCTGGCCTTGGACTGAGATCTGCCTGCCTCTGCTGAGATTAAAGGTATGTACCACCACCACCCAGCTCAAAGAGTGGTCTTAAAGGAGCCAGCAAGTATGTTCACGATCAAGACTCGACTATTGGGACAGAGCATCCCTTATTCCCAAAGTCAGAATTATAGGCTAAATCCACGCAGGACCAAAGGATGACTCTCAAAATATGTCCTATTCCTACACTTTCAAGCCAAAGACACTGCAGGCTCTGTTGGACCAATCAGAGGAATAAAATAAGATGCAATAGGAGAAGCTGGAGAGATGGCTCAGCAGTTAACGAGTATGCACACTACTCTTGCAGAGGACCAGTTTGGTTCTTAGCAACTATAGGAAGCAACTCACAACCACCTCTAAATGCAGCTCCCGAGGATCTGACACCCTCTCTGGCCTCCACAGCCATCTGCACTAATGTGTACAAATCCACATATACACACATACATATAATCTTGTGGGTGTGGTAGAGCATGACTTTATACTAGCACTTGGGAGGCAGAGGCAGGAGGACCTCTGATTTCAAGGCCAGCCAGAGCTACACAGTAAGACCCTGTCTCAAAAAAAAAAAAAAAATCTTTTTTTTTTTTTTTTAACTGAGTAGGAAAAGAATAGCACTTGGGGCTGGCTGTGCATTATACACACACAGTACCTGTACAATGAAGACAGGAAAAGCAGCCCAAGTGGCCTCAAGCCTGCCTCACTGCTATCGAAACAACCAAGATAATCAAAACAACCAAGATAATCGCCGTGCTTCTAGAATTCACTCTATCATCCTTGGAATCCCACTCAAACCAATCATAAACAAGGAGGGGTACAGATATCTACTATCCGAGAAGCAAGATCTATGACTGCAGCTACCACACAGAAGATGCCACTTAGGTCTGCAGCCAATACAGAATATACCTGGGATGCTGGACAGCTGGGCAGAGGGAGAAAAGCAGAAACAAACACATCTTTTTTCTTAGATTCTACTTTATTTGGTAAAATTCAGAAACTAACAACCAATTCACAGCCCCCTACCTCCTTCTCTGTGAAGAAGGGAGTTCCCCGAGACAAAAGGGCTGTGGCTTGGGAATTATCCACCATCCCAGGTTTCCACTCAGGCAGCCCATGGCCTGATAGGCCTTCAGGCTGATGTTCTCAGAGGCAAGAGAAGAAAGCAAAAGGAAGCTCTCACTTCCAAGACAATGAAACCCTCTCTACCCTCTTCCCCCTACCTCAACCTCCCCAGACCCACAACCTACATAAGACAGTAGAGGACAAAGCATGAGTGTGGGTATCACACACATACATGCACAGAGCTGCTTC